CCCCCCCCCACACCCCGGTGCATTTACTGGGTCAGGCAGGGCAGATGAAACGTCCAGTTAACTTTTACCAACCGTAATGATACATTTAGGTTACTGGTAATGCATAAAAATGCAAGCCTGGGGTTGTGTGCTGGACTCCTCTGTCCATTCTCGGCCCTATCCAGGGGCTCCTTGAGGCCCCCAAGTGGGGCACAGAGCATTCCTTTGGAACAGTAGCTTCCAGCTTTGTAGCCTGCAGCCCACAGTATGAAGGACTTTCTACATTGCAACCCATTCTGAACGTAGAAATACAAATACACAAAATAACGTCCTTGTTGGTAGGTAGTCTCCTTTGGTGTTTCTTCATTTAAAAAAATAACTTAGTCACTGGTGTCAACGCACAAAATTGATTTCATGGCTACTAACTGGGCTGTGCCTTAGATTGAAGAATGCTGCCCTAGTGGCAAAGGTGTCCTGCTAGGACCCCAGCCAGCCAGGTTGGGGCAGGTGCTCGGCCCTGTCATTGTGCTGTGGCTGCTGCTCACCACTGGCTCTGGTCACTGCAGGACACAACTCGGACGGGAAGTTCATTGCCCGGGCGCAGCGGATAGAGTACGACTGCGAGCTGGTGCCCCGACGAGTGGCCATCTTCATCGAGAAGACGAAAGATGGGCAGATTCTTCCGGTGCCCAACGTGGTTGTACGAGATGTGGCTTGTGGCGCTAACCACACGGTCAGTCCTGAGTGTTTCTGACTATTTCTTCTTGCTTCCTGAGGGTCCCCTCACAGAGAGGGTGTGAATGATCCCGCGGCCCAGCACCTGGCTTTGCAGCTTCCCTCCTGACTTAGGCGGACATAGCTGAGCACACAGACACTTGGGGCTGGGATCATACGGTGTTTTCTCTCCCGCAGCTGGTCCTCGACTCCCAGAAGCGCGTCTTCTCCTGGGGCTTTGGCGGCTACGGCCGGCTGGGCCACGCAGAGCAGAAGGACGAGATGGTCCCCCGCCTGGTGAAGCTGTTCGACTTCCCCGGGCGCGGGGCCACCCAGATCTATGCTGGCTACACCTGCTCCTTCGCTGTCAGTGAAGTGGGTGAGTGATTTCCCGCCTGGAACTTGGGAGGAAGGTGCCCAGAGGCATTCGTGGGTTTCCCTCCCTGGCAGAGGAGCCCTGGTGGGAGCCATAGTCCTGTCCCAAGACTGGGCCTCTTGATTTCACTGGCTTCTTCCCAGTTTTCTTTCTAATGCACACTCCTTTGTCACTGGTGCTGACCGTCTTGCACTTTCGTCCCAATCCTGTTGCCTTTCTCGTTGATGTTGCTGAAGGTGAGAATCAGCTCCTGAGATGTCTGCTCACAGAGGGACCGTGTTTGTCTTTTTCCAGGTGGTCTGTTTTTCTGGGGGGCCACCAACACGTCCCGTGAATCTACCATGTATCCGAAGGCCGTGCAGGACCTCTGTGGCTGGAGAATCCGGAGCCTGGCTTGTGGGTACGTGGCCGGGCCTCGTGGTGGGCAGGACTCTCCCCCTTCTGGGGGTGTTGGACATACCCCAGAGGTGCCTCTTCCCTTGAGGGTTATGCTGTCCATCAGGGCATAGGGTACAATGAATCTCAAGTCTAGCAGGGGAGGGTCTGTTTTTTTTATTTTGAGGAGCCCCCTTGAGCTGTTCATCAGTTCTCAGTAAGGAGTTTATGTTAATCAGCGGCCAGGTTGTGACTCCTACACTAGTTGGGGTGGCTTAAATCTGTTGGAATCTCTAGCCCCGCCCAGATAACTGTGTGGTTCCGCCCCCTTGGGAATGAGCTCCCACTTCATCCTGATTTGGTCTCCATTTCCCAGTGTGTTCACTCAAAAGTGACCACCCCACCCCCAAGATCCCCAGAACCCAGGGCGGTGGTGAGGCAGAAAGGTCGGATCCTGTGTGAGGCTCTGAAGTTGGGCCTCCAAAGGTCCTGGAGAAACCTGCTAACCCTCTGTGTGCTGAGCTAATAGGAAATGAGGGCATGGTAGAGTTTCAGTGGGACGTACTTGATTTTAAAGCTGGTAGGTCGCACCACATTCCTGAGCGGGTGCCCCCAGGACACACCGTGGTAGCTGGGTTGGGCGCAGGGCTCCGCCGCTGGCCACGGGGTAACGGCGTCTGCGTGTTTGCAGGAAGAGCAGCATCATCGTGGCTGCGGATGAGAGCACAATCAGCTGGGGCCCCTCGCCCACCTTCGGGGAACTGGTAAGCTGGCCCTGCGTGCAGGAGGCGGAACCCAGTCTGGGCTCGTTGAAACCGATCCCTAAGATACAGAGAACGTAGAAAATGTCTTTTTTCCTTGCTGCATTCAGGTCTGTAATATCCTCTAATCTTTGAGTACATCAGCTTTCAAAGACGATTCCGGGCCCATCAAATACAGTTGACCTTTGGACAACATAGGTTGAAACTGCGCAGGTCCATTAATGCTTGAAATTTTTTCAGTCGACTGCAGATCAGTTGACCCACACAGTTCAAACCTGCGTCCAAGGGTTAACCCCTCAGTTGGGGATCTGCCTGTGCAGAGGGCCGACTGCAGTTACACGTGGATTTTCAGCTTTGGGGTAGATCGTCCCTAACCCCCCACGTTGTTCGAGGGTCAGCTGTAATTGTGGAAGTTCTGTCCACATGGTAACACGGAAAGGGGGAGGAATTGGACCTCATTTCCCCTTGCGTTCTGTAAACCCTGGTTGTGATACAGGGGTGATAGGAAAGGCGATGATGGTTGCTCTCCGCTCTCCAGAGGGTCTGATCAGGAGGAACAGACAGCGTGTCCTTTTAAACCGTGTGGTGAGGGTGCATTGAGTCTGTTTTTCCAACCCTGAGTCCTCGCAGCCTTTTGAGCTCCGTGAGCAGCCCTTGCTGTTTCACAGAGCAGTGTGCCGTCAGGCCAGCCTCTTAGGTTGCTTGGGGACATACTTCTCTCATTTTAAAAAAAAGTAAGTGTAAGCCTGTGTCCCTTGCTTTTTATCTCTGTTGTGTGGGTGATTAGAACCGATGGCTCTCACTTTTTCACACTTACTTGGCCTTTCCCAGCCAAGCGCCTCTGAGTCTCAGGTTATGGTGTTTGGTGATTCCTTCACTTTTCATTTCATCATGAACAGCTTGGCTGTGGCTCGTCCTCATGGTCGCCTGTTCTGCTTGTGATTTGACCCTCTGCCTGGCTCTTGTATTTCCTGCCGGGGACGCCGTCTGTCTCCTGTCGAGGGCGGGAGCTGATGGGGTGATGGGGGCGAGGGAAGAAGGGTTTGATTCTGGGAGCCGTCTCCAGGACTCCTGGGTGCTGTGCATCCACTTTCAGTCAGTGGCTTCTAAGGGGCCCATGCAGAACACTGAAAGGCCCGAGAACATGACCCAGTTCTTACATTGTTCCCAAATAGGCTCTGAAAATCAATATAAAACTGGAGAGGAAGGAGAGGGACTTTGGGCAGCCTCTTATGGTGAGGAGATGGTGTGGCACTTGGAGGAAGCACTCCCTGTAGGGGAAGGCGAGAGGCAGGGCCTGGTGGCAGGTGGAGCTGGGGAGGGAGGTCCTTCCTCACCTTCCCTGTGTGTCCCTCTGTTAGAGCTGAGCTGAGCTGCAATGTCTGCTGGCAAAGAAATGACCCATCTCCGCGCCTTTGCATATGACTCCGACCCCATCCCCCACCCCAGGCAGTCCTTGACCAGTCCCTTTTGTCTCTGGTTGGGTGACAGTGCTGTCAATAATAATGGGTGGTGGTATTTTGGTCTCCAGTCCACAGGGTGTGGGCAGGTTTTCGGCCAGCATTTTCTGTAGTTGGCATTTCTTCCTGGGCTCAAGATGGTGTTACCAGTGAGACTCCCCGAAAGGCACCTGTTATCACATAAATCCCCAGAGGTTACAATTTAGCCTCCGTCTTCCTAAGAACAACAGTTTTGTGGGTAAACACTGCTATCCCAGCCTGGCCCTGTGTCTGAGAGCAGTGGGGTTCGGTCGGTCACAGAGCCTGTCTGGCTTTGGTTAGTGGGTTGCCTTCATTCCCATTTTTGGACCCCAGTTCTGTGAGTGTCTCCTCTGCTTACTTCACCAGGGCTACGGGGACCACAAGCCCAAGTCTTCCACTGCAGCTCAAGAGGTGAAGACGCTGGACGGCATTTTCACAGAGCAGGTGAGAGCGGGCTCTGTGCCGCCCGTGGGAAGCAAGACGTGCTGGGTAGCAAGAGATGTGCCAGTTCGCATCTTACTCTCGTTTCTGGTCTTGGCGTGCTCCTGTGCTGGATTTTTCTGATGGGTGACAGGCATGAGCAGGACGCACAGGTGCACGCTGGTCAGGCTCCGTGGCTGGTTTCTCCCTGAGCGACACTGGCCCCAGTCCAGCCACCAAACGGATTTGCTCCAGGGCAAGTCCATGTCTCACAGCTGCCATGTGGCTGCCCCCAAGACTGCACACCCTTAGGCTGGGGGCCGATGGTGGGTTGTGAGCCCCTTCCCTGTTAGGTCTGCCAGGCTGCTGAGACACAGATGGTGTGTGTGCCGTCATGCGAGACGGCTGGTCCAGAGAGGCAGGGGCACAGGCGCGTGACCCGTGTGTCCCAGCTCTGCTCGGTGGGCTGCCTTCATCTCCTCCCCACGCGGCCTGGACAGCTTTGGTTGGCAGGGCGTTGGTATAGGTCACGTTGAGACTAGTGGCCTTTAGTAAAGGGTTTTTACGCACTTTTCAGGTGTACTTCAGTTTCCTTCATGTTGACCCAGGGTGCTCACCTAGCTGGCTAGTGTCCTTCATGCTGCCGTTGTCTGCCGTGTGTCTCTCTGCTCCAGACTCAGCGACACCCGTGTGCCAAAGTGTCCTCTCACACCCAGCGCCGATTTGTCCCCGCAGGTCGCCATGGGCTACTCGCACTCCTTGGTGATAGCAAGAGATGAAAGTGAGACCGAGAAGGAGAAGATCAAGAAACTGCCAGAGTATAACCCCCGCACCCTCTGACTGTCCCGGGGCCTCCACCTCCACACCTCTCGCGGCAGCTGTCATTTCCATGTGCACTGGGACGGAAGTCAAACGAGGAAGTTAAACGAGCAAAAGTTGACTGAAGGTGCATTTTTGTTAGACTCCCTGAGGTTCCGTTTTATAAGTGATTCAACGTCAACTACCTTTTCTGTATGCTCTCCAAAGTGTTTTTCCTCTCAATGTTTAATTAAAATATTTGCTCATAGTTGACTTACCATTCCTACAAGAGGCAGAAACTTTGAGCAATCCAGGTTTGGTTTTTTTTTTTAAGCTCCCCCTTTTCCCCCCAATATACTTCTCAAAACTCTCCTTTCCAATTGTAAACAGCATTGTGATCGGACTGGGTGCTACCTAGGAGAGGAGTCACCATTTACTCAGAAAAAAAATGTCCTTTTTGGAAACCTGCAGCATTTTTGGCAAAGAGGGTCCCTGGTGGTCCGTCTCTATCCAAAATCATACCCATATGCTTTGGAAGCATCTGGGTCCCTCCCTTCCCGCTTTTTCTTGTAGACTGGCTGAGGCCGGCCTTGGTTCTGTTCTCCCCTTGGCTGCTTGTAAGCCCCACCCACCGCCTTTTGGCTGCAACATTATTAGAATCTGCCGTTTCCCCCCTGGTGGGGGCTCTGGGGTATGTGTTTAGCCATTTATATCTACTTTATCTGTAAATGAAGTCCAAGTGAAAAAAATCAGGTGATCATGGAACCAGTGGGGGCCCGAGGGGGTGGGCAGTCGTGGGGATATTGTATCTGGTTCAAAAACCAGCTTTAAGGTTCCTCTGAGGAGCCAGGGCCACCTCGCCAGCACTCGCCATTAGAGATTGATCAGCCAGCAGTGAAAAGTGCATTCTGGAGTCCTTGGAAGGAGGACCAGCCCTTATGTACCAGCCTTTAGCGCCTCTGTGCTTGTTTTTATCACACTCCCCCAGCCCCCACCGCTGGATTCGGCTGGAATAGCCCGGTCTGTTTCTGAGACTCGGGTTCCAGTTCTGCTAACCCAGCTCTCTAGTCACATTTGCTTGGCTGTGGTACCAAATAGATGGGATCAAGAAGCCCCCCTTCCCCAAGTGTCAGCGCAGATGCCATGACTGCCAGCCACCTCCCCACCAAGTGCCCTCTGCCCGAGCTCGTCCCCAGCGTGGCGCTGCTCTGTGTGAGTTACGAGGTGCCTTTCCCGGAACCCTCCTCTCACTTGGACCCAGCTCTGGCTGGGGCTCTTGGTTTCGAGAGGGTCTGGACTGGTTTGGGTGCTTTAAAATAGATTTTTTTAGTTCAGTGGTGCTTCTGAGGGAGATGGGGGTAGAACTTCAGTGTGAGACTTGGGTGGATGGGAAAGTTCAATATTGGTCTTTTTTAATTTTTTGCTTTGCTATTGTTACCACTTGTCATTGTCTTGATGTTAAAATGCCAAAAATGATCCAGTTGTTGCTTTTTCCCACTCGTCCTCTGTCCCTCCTTAAGGTAGCTTCTGCCTTCGCAGGGCACATAACAGGCTTTATCTGGGCCAGTCCCAAGGCCTTGCGTGAGGGGACCGGGCTGTATCTAAGACTTAGTCTGACTTCATGCTCATCTCTGCTGTCCTGGGTTCAGTCTGTAGTCCAGGGGAGAAGCTTCTGCCACTTCAGAGCTTCTGCTAAACTAACCTGATTTGTCCAAGTCACCCCAAAGCCACCATCTCTTAACTCAAGCTTCCTTATGTGGGACCCGTTTCCCTGGACAAGTCTCTTTCCTGGAGTGGGATTAGGTGCCTGTGCTCCTCGGACCCGCACAGCCTCCCTTGGGTCGTGCAGTTGCCGAGCGAGTGGTGGGAGCAGTAGCCGGGGTCCTGGCTGTTGTACCGTTGGCCAAGCAGGGCTTCGATCTTCCAATGGACTAATCTGAAGCCCACCGCCAGCCGATTCTGGGACCCCTGGCCAGGGACGAGCAGGACAGGGATGTACCTTCCTAGTGAAGTTCCGCCCTCTTCTCTCCCACAATCACTCCTTCTGGCTTGGAGTTTGGGCATGAACTTCCTAGTGGGGAAAACCCCGTAGAACGGGTGGGGTGGTGGCCTGCACTCCAAGAGAAAGACAAAGTGACCGAGCTGAGACAGTGCTTGGCGTTGACCTTTGGGGCGTTTGCCATGTCTTCCAGCTCAGGAAGGAGAATTTGGAAGAAGAGGCTGAGAGTGAAGGGGAATCTAAGCGGAGGTTGTGATTTGGTCGAAGGTGCCTGGTTTAGTGCTGTAATTGTCTTATTTTTTTTATATATATATTTCTTGGAGTAAACATTTTAAATAAACGACATCATTGTTTACTCTGTTTTGGCTTTTGCGCTTATTTTTCAGTAGAATGAAGGTAAGAACATTATCGACTATTTTGCTCTGCATGTGCGCCTCCGGTCTGCTGCCCACGCCAAGGCTCCCTCGAAGGGGCTGTCACAGGACAGGCCTCAGGACAGCGGGTCCTTTTAGCTTCTAGGCTTAAACCATACTGGGATTGGGAGGTGAGTGGAGCTCCTAACTCTCCCTTGAAATGTGTGTTCCTTGGAGAGGGCAGGAGAGTCAGCACCTCACTTCTCCAAACTCAAAAGTGGAGCTTTTCTGTACGCCGCATTAAGGCTTTGTGAGGATGAGGGTAGGGTGTGGAAAGCACCAGAACAGTGGTATGTTTCATGTGCCCAGAGACACCTAGTCATTTCTTTCCCCCCACCAACTCTTCAAAAGGGAGCCTTATCACTAGAGCATGGTCACAAATGTGCCTCTTCAGCCAGCATTGGCCCCTTACCAGCAGTGTGGCAAGCTGCCCATCAGGGGACACCAAGAGGTCAGTTGTGTGTTCAGAGGCCCCAGGCGCTTTCTATTCTGCCCAGGCTGCTCCAGGTGTACTTGGCTGAGCTGTGCACCGCCCACCAGACCCCTGCAACCACCACCATTTCAACGCCGGTCACTTACTTGTGGAGTCTTGGATATTGGCTATTTGATGTCATCAGACCCGCCCCTCCCAGGAGGCACTGTCTCCATTCCAAGCTCCTAGACTGTTTGGAGTTTCCCATCAGCTGGAGGAGGGGCAGGGTGGGGAAAGCCATGATTATAGCTTCTCAGAATCATTGAATAGCATCTTTGTGCCATTAACACAGGCAGGCAGATGGGAATTGGCAGCTTCGGGTCCCCGAGTGGGCATTTCTTCTGGACACAGGCATAATGGGAGTCAACCAGCCCTGCCCTTGAGGTACCTTGTCCCTCAGGCTACACCTGGGGACCCCAAGGAGACCAGGGCCACTTTTTGACAAAGCCAAGTGCTCACAAGGCAGGGTACCACCTCTCCTGGGCTGTCCCATTAGGCTCAAACTTCCAGACCTGGCGTGTCTCATGCTCTTCAAACTCATTCCTACCACTTTCCACTGGACAATGAAGTAGACACAGCAACTTGTTCACCTAGTTCCCTGCCCCAACGAGTGGGACAGCCCAACCACAGGTGTCCCAGCTGCTCAGATTTCCATCCTTAGCCGCCACCCCTTCCCCCAAATAAGGCAGCCACTGCCAAAATGCATTCAGAACAGCTAGAGCTTTAATGGGTAGCTAGTAACCACTCCTTAGCTGAAGAGTTTTCATCTTTACCCAAGGGGTTTGAGCTGTGGCAGCATTTGCCCCCCCCAACTGGATTCTGAGGGGTGGGGGAACAGGGTAAAGAAGGAGTGGTGTCTCAACTCTCTAGTCCCCCCGGGCAGAGAGTGACAGTGGCCATTTATGCTGGGGTAGGGCCAGCAGTGCTAGGCTTGGGTCTAAGGCACCATCTTCCACCATTTGTAGGCAAAGGGAACCCGGCGGACGTTGGCACAGGCGCAGAAGTCTCCGATTTCAGTCATGTAGCAGTCAAAGTCGTTAATGAAGGTGCATTGGAAGCCCAGGGGCTCCAGCAACTGACAGACCTTTTCTTCTAGGCAGCAGGTACCCTTGATCTGGGGCCCAAAAGGCTTGGGGATGCCCAGGTTCTTGCCCATCACAATCACCTGCATCTGTCAGACAGGATGGGCAAGGTCTCGTGGGCTGGAGCCACGAAAGAAAGTACTATTGGGTTCAGTGCAAGGGGAAACCCAGCTGCCTCTGCGATTGGACCAGACCAGGAAAGCAAGCACACACCAGCACCTCTGCAGGCCTGTGTTCATGCGCAAATCACAGATCCTGGCAAGTCCAACACACTTCTGCTTAAGCGCCCAGTGGCCCCTGTGAGATTCCCAACAGCAAAACTAAAATCCTGCCTGGCCAAGGTCTGGTTTTGCCAACTTCCCTGGCTTCTTCCTCCCACCTCTCTCAGTCTGGCCTTTAGTCTCATTTGCACCATAATCTTGCCTACCTCTACTGGAATGTTCCCCTGCCCTTAGCTTTGGCATTGGCTTTGTCCATTTTTTACATCTCTAGCATCTCTTCCTTACAGCGACTCCCACCACAGCCCGCACCTGCTCTGAGGGCCTCCAAGGGGCTCCTATTTCATGCCCAGAGGGACATCAGTCTTTTAAAATTAACAGATACCCATGTGTGATTGATGGACGCAGGGCCTGTGTCCCTGGGCCTGAGAAGAGATCTGCGAGTGTTTAAGGAACTGATGAACCCAAGTGTCTCAGAATTCATGCCAAGTGCCTGCTTGGTGGGTCCCAGTTGTGAGAAAGGTCAGGTGTAGGCCAGAGGTGGAGTGGGCTTGGCACAGCAGGGGTCTCATACATGCACCCCCCCCCCC